GCTTATTTCACTTAACACATTGCTGTCTATCTCCATCCATGTTGTTACAAATGGAGGAAACTTCTTTTTTACCACAACATAGTATTCCATTGTGTAGATGTACCACGGTTTTTTAATCCACTCATCTGCTGATGGGTGTTTAAGCTGTTCCAAATCTGAGCTATGGTGAATTGTGCTGCTATAAACATATGGGTGCATATATCCTTACTGATTCGTGTTTCTAGTTTCTTGGGATATATTCCTAGAAGTGGGATCGCTGGGTCAAATGGGAGTTCCATTTTTAGTTTTTTGAGGAAACTCCATACTGTTCTCCACAGTGGCTGCATCAGTCTGCATTCCCACCAGCAGTGTACCTTTTTCTCCTCATCCTCGCCAACACTTGTTGTTTGTTGATTTGTTGATGATAGCCATTCTGACAGGTGTAAGATGGTAACAATTGTTGTTTTTATTTCAATCTCTCTGATGATTTGTGACTTTCTGCATGTTTTCATGTGCCTTTTGGCCTTCCTTCAGTCTTCTTTTGAAAAGTGTCTATTTAGATCACTTACCCATCTTTTGCTTGATGGTTTATCTTCTTTTTCTTAAGTTGTTAGAGTTCTCTGTAAATGTTGGAGATTAAACTCTTATTGTTGATATCATTGGCAAATATGTTCTCCCATGCAATGGGATTTCTTGTTATTTATTGATGGTTTCCTTTGCTGTGAAAAAGCTTTTTATTTTGACGTAGTCCTATTTATTTATTTTCTCTTTAGCTTCCATTGCCCTAGGAGCAGTAGCAGTGAAGAAGTTCTTTTGGGATATGTCTGAGATTTTGCTGCCTGTGGATTTCCCTAGTATTTTTATGTTTTCCCATCTTATATTTAAGTCCTGTATTCATTTTGAGTTTATTTTTGTGTATGGTGTAAGTTGGTGGTCTAGTTTCATTTTTTTTTTTCATGTATCTGTCCAATTTTTCCAACACCATTTCTTGAAGAGACTGTCTTGAATTCATTGTATGTTCATGCCCCCTTTGTCTCATATTAATTGAGCATAGTGGTTGGGTTCCATATCTGGATTCTCTATTTTATTCCATTGGTCTATATGTCTGTTTTTGTGCCAGTACCAGGCTGTTTTGAGAACAGAGGCTTTGAAATACAGCTTAAAATCCAGTGTTTAGATCCCACCTACTTTGTTGTTCTTCTCAGGATTGCTTGTAGCAATTTGGAGTCTTTTTTATTCCAGATGAATTTTTGTTGAGTTCTTTCTAGGTCTGTGAAATATGCAGTTGGTATTTTAATGGGGAGTGCATTGAATCTGTAGATTGCTTTGGGTATTATGGACATTTTAATGATGTTGATTCTACCAATCCATGAACACTGTATGTTCTTTCATCTGTTTATATCTTCCTCTATCTCTTTCTTCAGTGTCCTATGGTTTTCTGCATATAGGTCTTTTACTTCCTTAGTTAAGTTTATTTCTAGGTACCTTAATTTATTTTTTGGTATGATGGTAAATGGGATTTCTTTTTTACTCTCTTTCTGTAAGTTCATTATTGGTGTATAGAAATACCATATATTTCCTGGAGTTAATTTTGTATCCTGCTACCTTGCCAAATTCATTTATTAAGTCTAATAATTTTTGGATGGAATCTTTAGGGCTTTCTATGTACAGTGTCATGTCATCTGCAAATAAGGACAGGTTTACTTCTTCTTTTCCAATTTGGATGCCTTTTATTTCTTCTTGTCTGATTTCTATGGCAAGTACTTCCAGCACTATGTTGAACAGAAGTGGTGAAAGTGGGCATCCCTGTCTTATTCCTGTTCTTAGAGAAAATGTTTTTAGATTTTGTCCATTGAGTATGATGTTGGCTGTGGATTTGTCATTTAAGGCTTTTATTATGTTGAGGTATGATCCTTGTATTCCTACCTTACTGAGAGTTTTTACCAAGAAAGGGTGTTGGATTTTGTCAAATGCTTTTTCTGCATCAATTGATATGACTATGTGATTTTATTTCTCAATTTATGTGATGTATCATGTTTATTGATTTGTGAATATTGTACCAACCTTGCATCCTGGGATAAATTCTACTTGGTCATGGTGTATGATCTTTCTGATGGACTGATGGACCCAATTTGCTAGAATTTTGTTGAGGATTTTGGCATCTATGTTCATGAGGGATATTGGCCTATAATTCTCTTTCATTGTGTTATCTTTATCTGGTTTTGATATTAGGGTGATGCTGGCTTCATAGAAGAAGCTTAGATGTGTTCCTTCTTCTTGAATTTTCTGGAATAATCTGAGGAGGATAGGTTTTAGTTCTTTCTTGAATGGTTGGTATAACTCCCCTGTGAGCCTTCTAGCCCTGGGCTTTTTTTTTTTTTTTTTTTTTTTGCTGGAAGCTTTTTGATGACTTCTTCAACTTTTACTAAAGTTTTACTAAAAACTTATATTTAACACTAGGTTTGGAGCTATGGAACTTGAAAAAGAAGTATTAGGTAACTAACATAAGTTGTTATGTTTGGAGGAACTTTGGAAGATTTTAATTAGAGGATTTCAGTATGAGCATGATGGTTTCAGATGTCTGTTCCATAAGCAGCGTGTAAGAGGGGCGGGATGAGAGAAAGAGGTTGAAGTCTATTACATGTGGAGAGCAGTGAGAGAGCTGAGACTTGGTAATACCAGTGGGAATAGAGTTACGTCTCTGTATTATATATCCAGTAAGCAATCAACTAATAGAACAAAATAAAGTAAAATGCCAGACATTTTGAAAGGAATAAATCAAGAAAGAGATTGAGGTTAATAAATCATTACCTAAATGTGATCATAGGAAAGTTGAAAAGTATCATTCAGATATTTTATAGATTTGTAAAAATGAAATATAATTATCAGAGGACTCATTTCAAATATATATATATATATATATATATATATATATATATATATATATATAAATGAATTTCCAATTGGTTTTAAGACCTTAGAAATGAGGGACATGCATCCAGAGAATGAATTCATCCACATATTTAGTTACAGCTATAATGTAGAAAATTGGTTTTTATTGCTATACATAGTTAAAATTTAAGAAGTTAGTTCTACAGCTTTTTGCTCATGTTGCTGAAATCAGTGTGCTCTTAAAATGAATAAGAAATTGATGATAAATGAATGCATTAAGTGAGAGGCATAGTGAGCCACACATTGTCACTACTCATGTCAGTTATAAACTGAACTCCATCTCTACATGACAAGTTACTTCTGGGAGGCTTATGGTATCTCTTAGGAAAAGAAAAGGCCACCTTTTTTTTCTGACTCTTTGTGAGCTCATTAACTCTCAGCAATTTCCCACCAGCTAGCAAACATCTAAAATTGCCAAGTGATTCCAAAACTGTATAAAAACAGAGTTAATTTGTGGCAGAAGGAAGGCATTCCCTTTTTGTAGAGTTAAATTTTGTAGAGGTAAGTTTGCATATTTAGGCATAAAGATACGTGTACCGTATTTTCCAGTGTATAAGACGACTGGGCGTATAAAACAACCCCCCTAATTTTACAGTTAAAACATAGGTTTAGGCCTATATTCGCTGTATAAGACTACCTCCCACTTCCGAGGCAACACCGGTTTCTTTTTTAATAGACTGCCTCTCAAACTCAGCCAATCCAAGCAGGCTTTTTATGCATGCAAATTATACATGTTCTGTACCCGAAACTACACTGTGTTCTAGTAAAAAACCTGTTCAGATTGGCCAGAGTCTGAGAGGTGGTCTATTAAAAAAAGAACTGGTGTTGCCTCGGAAGTGGGGAGTAGTCTTATACAGCGAATATAGGCCTAAACCTATGTTTTAACTGTAAAATTAGGGGGGTCGTCTTATATACCGGAAAATACGGTATGTCAAAGTTTCTAATAAAACTGTTGTGTTTCAAACTAATATTTCAAAATTAGGCATAAAATAATTGTAAAATAGCATTAAAATAGGCATTTCAACTTATCTTTAAACATAAACATGACTTTGTAAGAAATGTATTTAATATTAAAATTTATATTGTACTAGAGGGCCAGTGCACAAAATTCATGCATGCGTGGTGGGAGGGGGGTGTCCCTCAGCCCAGCCTGCACCATCTACAATTTGGGAATTGTCAAGGATGTCTGACTGCCCATTTAGGCCCAATCCAGATAGGACTGGACCTAAATGGCAGTCAGACATCCCTCTCACAATCAGGACTGCTGGCTCCCAACTGCTTGCCTGCCTGCCTTCCTGATTGCCCTAACCCCTTCTGCCCACCAGCCTGATCACCCCTAACCACTCCCCTGCCAGCCTGATGGATGCCTAACTGCTCTCCTGCCAGCCTTTTTGCTTCTAACTGCCTTCCCCTGCAGGCCTGGTCACCCCTAACTGACCTTCCCTGTAGGCCAGGTTCCCTTCCCCCACCCCCAACTGCTCTCCCCTGCAGGTCTGGGTCCCCCCAAACTGCCCTTCCATGCAGGACTGGTTGCCCCCAATTTCCCTCCTCTGCCAGCCTGGTCACCCCTAACTGCCCTCCCCTACAGGCTTGATCACCCCCAACTGCCCTCTCTTGCAGGCCTGGTCCGTCTCAACTGCCCTTCCTTGCAGGCCTAGTGCCTCCCAACTGCCCTCCCCTGCTGGCCTGATCACTCACAACTGCCCTCCTTTGTAGGCTTGGTCCCTCCCAACTGTCCTCCCCTGCTGACCATCTTGTGGAGACCATCTTGTGTTCACATGGGGGCAGCTATCTTGTGTGTTGGAGTGATGGTCAATTTGCATGGTACTCTTTTATTAGATAGGATAGGTAATGGAGCAAAGAGAAAGTTAAGCATTTAAGAAAAAAAATTTCATTCACATTTATTAGATATTGTATTTTGCCATTTCTAGGAGCAGAAGATCAAATATAGATAAAATATAGGAGTATAAAGAGCATATCCTGCTTATTTATATAGAATATTTCAAAGTAAGAAAAAAAGTGAGCTAAGTTTGTACGGACTCTCATTTTCTTTTCTTGCCTAATTTCAGGCCTTGGAAAGTGAATTTGTTTCTTGCCAACTCCATCAGTGGATTGATCTTATATTTGGCTACAAGCAGCGAGGACCAGAAGCAGTTCGTGCTCTGAATGTTTTTCACTACTTGACGTATGAAGGCTCTATGAATCTGGATAGCATCACTGACCCTGTGCTCAGAGAGGTAGGTGTTCAGTCCCATAATTTTTAAAAAAAATCTGTTACCCCTCAAACACACATGTGACTTTCCAACTCTTTCTGTATAAATTTTTTTCAACATAAATTTTCACAAAATATTTGTAATGAAATTTATCTCAATCCTTGACAAATTTGGAAAAATGAATGTTATATATCAAAACCAAGTAACGAGATCTGCATGTTGTTCCTGTATGAATTGCAGACATATATGATAAACTTAAATAGCCTTATTTCATTTTACTTCAGAATCTTCATTAACATGCTTAATGACTATGTGTGTAATTAATGAAACATACTTGAATATTTAAATAAATACTAGGAACCCAGTGCACAAATTCATGCACCTTAAAAGGAACTGTGGGCCATGAGCCTGTGGTGGGCACAGGAGTGGGTCTTGGCCCATCCTCCACACCTTCAACTGCCTCCTCCCACCATGGCCCTAGGTCCCCTCTCTGCCTGCAGCCCTGCTCCCACCACCACCACTCCCACACACTGAGGCACTGGCCCCGCTCGCACCTGCTGATGACGCTGAGCAATTGGGGCCAGCACCAGCAGCGGTACAAGCAGGGCCAGCAGCATTAGTGGGTGCGAGTGGTGGCAGCTGCCCTGATCACCCCTCAGGAGCAGGGGAGATAGAGAAGTCCTGAGAATGATCAGGGCCAGCAGCTGCTGCTCTCACCCGCTGACAGTGCCAAGTGATTGGGGCTGCAAATGGTGGCTCCAGTGCTGGCAGCAGGTGTGAGCACCGGATGGGATTGGGTGGGATTGTTGTGCACAGAAGCAAAGAATTTTCAGTAACCACCAGAGGCTTGATGACAGCAATAGGTGCCCTGCCTTGGTCTGGCATGCCCACTCACTTGCTCCACTATTCTGCCACGGCTAACACCCACCATATTCAGTGCTCTGCTGCCTGCTGCTGAAGCCCACCATGATCCGCATGCTCCCCCTGGTGGTCAGCACACATCATAGCGACTGGTTGTTCAGTTGATCTGCCATTCAGTCTATTTGCATATTGGGATTTTATATTCAGGCAGTCCTCAGGTTACATCGGACTCGATGTATAATACATTGTTTTGTGGTTATGTGGCCCTTGGTTACATCAGACTTGATGTATATCGTTTTGTGGTTATGTGCCCATTTCTCATTTATTTATCAAAGAAACTTCCATCATTTTGACATATGTACATATGTGCTTTATGTTTTTTATTATTTATTTACCACAAGTAAAGGTCAGAAATTATTATCTTTCTTTAATTTTTTTTTTTTTTTACTGTTTCACTTCATTACTGCTATGTATGTGCTCCATGTGAGTGATGTAGGTGCTTATGTAGGTGAGTTCCCGACTTATGGTGAAAATTGCATTACGTTGTGCCATAAGAATGGAACTCCAATGTAACCTGAAGACCTACTGTAAATAGATAGATAATAGTTCATATGAAATAATCTGCCAGTGTGTTTTTTTAATAAAAACAAAATTATAACCTTCTAGATAGAATACTCAAAAAATACATCAATGAAATAGATGAGGCTATAGTATTTTATTCCCATATCTTCTCACCCTAAAATTTTATAGTGAACAGTTGGAAATTATATATTATAACAGCAATTATCAACATTTTTCATTTCATGGCACACATGAACTAATTACTAAAATTCTGCAGCATACAAAAAGATGTATTTTTTGCTGATCTGACAAAAATTAGTATAATTTTGATTCATTCACAGTGATTATTATTGTGTTGGCTATTGTCATTTTTTTTATTTGACAATCTAAGAGAAAAGAGGTCAGTGCTCTTGACTAAATAGGTGTTGCATGTTTTAAAAATTCTAGTGGCTCACAGGTTGAAAATTGCTGTGTTATAGTATTTGTATAAGTATTTTCAGTGAGAATATTCAGATAAAATATGTAAATCGCTTCCACATTACATAACATGATTTAAGATAGGTAAAAAGTATGAACATACAACAGCTGCTACATAAGTGTCACTGCAAAGAAGTTCTATTTCCAGTCTTCTTTCTACCATCTGCTTTATGCAAAACAAGCAATCATTTCTACATTTTCAGAAATGTAGAAATGCTTTTTAATTTTTAATTTTAGAGGTGGAAAACTTGTAGATTTGGAAAAATAAAGCCCTACAAGAAGAACTTGTATCCATAAAATTATTTCTTGCAGACCTCTATAAAAACAAAATGACTTTACTTGTATGGCTTGAAGCCAAGAAGAGGAAAGAGAAGGGACATGCCTCATGATCATTGATCATTGGACTCTGTGGCTAATATTCAGAAAATACATTGCAAACATGGTATTAAATACAATATTATAGCATATTGTATACACGAGGAGGTAGAATTATTGCCTGAAGCTAGGAGGAAAAAAAATAGAGACAGATAATATTATAAATGAATGAGAGAGAAGTCAGATTTAATTAAATCAGTTGGTGAAATAGAGATATTCTCTACAAAACATTACACTCACCTAATTTAGTATCTCCCCAGTTGTGTTCAAACTATAAGATTGTTTTGTAGAAGTTAATTCTGTCTGATTACTTTTTTACTTTTAAAAATTGTAGACATTTTTGCTCCTGAATATTTTATTATATACTTTATCCATTATAAAGTTTGTTCTTATAAAAAAAGTTGCAAGATAATCTTCTTGGACAAATACAAATATTTTAAGCTTATTGCATGTAAGGAAAGTGCAAGGCACATTAAAATTGACAAAAAGTAGATTTTTTAAATATTTAAATTAGAAAGGAAATTAATGAGAGAAAATGGAATCAGAATTGAGACTTTCTTTACATGTATATAGTGCTTATTATTTAAGTCCTTAAAAAAAATACCTGTTTCTACATAATACCACACCATTGCTTTGGACAGTGAAAGAAACAATATATAAGTCTTAATTGTCAAACTGTAGAACTTCCTACTGAGTCACTAGATGGAAATGTGTAATGTAAATTTTTTCTTTTGGGTGGGAATAAAAAAAAAAAACCACAGGGTTTTTCTTATTATATAGATCATCGGAACAATATGTAACATACTGCTCCTGACGGCCTCATAGCGATGCAGACTGTTGAGTGCTAGGGTACATTAGTTCAGGACTCTCTCCTCTAGCACATCACTGCTGAATACTGAGGTTCCATTAGAGAAACCCTGAGAATCATTCTGTAGCATGTGTCCTGCTTTCCTAGGCTCCATATTTGCCTTCCAGACCCAATAACTCTTATTTTTCAGAATACTAGGTGAGAAAACATATCCCTGGAACACAAGTTACTTCCTTCCCCAGCCAGGATAGGCCCAAACACACACCAGCAGAGATATTTGCCCTGACCCTAGGACCTGTGTCAACTCAGCAGATTAAATGTGTCAACAGATGAAGTGATTTTTATGGGATATGAGTTAATTTTCTCTTCCCCCACTCCCTACCCTTATCTCCTCTACCAATAACCTAACATATTCCCACAACAGAAGTTTTGTAGTAACATTTACGAACCAGCAACAGAGGATAAATCAGCTGAATTCTTGAGCTATCTAATGTGGCCAACTGATTAATCTTACTCCACCTCAGTTGCTCTCTTTATAAAGGAGGGATAATACAGAGCATGTTTTCCAATATAAAAACACTTAGCATCGCCAGTCAGAAGAAAGAACTGTAGAGTAGAACGAAGCACAGCATAGTCACTGTTTGATGGTCATCTGTGCCCCCTTACTGCACAGAACCTGGTGTGGAGGTCCTCTGGGAAGCACACCACTTGTTTCAACACATCAGTGTTGACTCTGAAGGTCTGCACGGTGGTGCTATGACTCCAGAGAGTTGATACCTATTTAGGCTCTTGGGGAAAAAGCAGTGTTCAAAATGATAATCCTTGTATTAAGCTAAGTGCATTACCTTTATTTGATATTTATCTTTGTATTTTTATACTATTTATTTTAGTATTTTTAAATGGTAAGATGACTACTTTTCACATAAATAAACCAAAGGAATCTCATTACAATTAATCTCCACCAAACTCCAACTAACGTAAGGAAGATGTTTCTTTTAAATCCTTAAATTAAACACTGGTTTAAAAGAGAAATACCTGATATATGAATGTCCCTTTCTTTAGTAAAAAAAAGAAATCCCACATTTTGAACTTTGAAGTTAGAGCTAAAATTGGATAAATAGCTTAAGGTTATTGATTCTTCCTTGACAGGTGAAATCATGAAGCAGCACTAATCACAGCAATTATGGCATTAAAATGTCAAGAAATTAGAGGTCAGAATAACAGATAATTTTCTTCTCTATGTTATATTTAAAATTGACATTTTTTGACAGCTTCAGATTTCTGGTTGAGAAAAATAGGATGGCTTAACTTATTTTATACTTGTAAAGCAGTAATTGATAATCTTTTTCATGATAGCCTCTGGACAGAAACATGACAGAACAGTTCTGGTGCAAAGTTCTTATATGTAAACACTAGATCTGTTGGATATTAGAAATTATTTTAATTGTTTTAAGTCATGGCTTACATCATAAACTAGAACCTTTTTTTATAAATGAGCTCAACTGGCTAAGTAGTTATTTTAAATATGATAATGAATATTTTTTTCGTTTTTACATATTAATAAAAATGTGATTTTATTTATATCTTCCTACCAAATTATGGCTGAGAAACTCCATCTTATGGCCTTCTTAGGTTAGTAATTATCTAGTTCCACAGTTTTCTACCTCCTTGCTACTCAAATGTGGTCCAGAGAACACCAATATCAGCATCACCTGGGAACTTGTTTGAACTTCAGACTCTCAGGCCTCCCCATCCTACTGAATTAGAACATGCATTTAAGGAGGTCCTAGCTGACTTATTTGGAATAGAAAACCTAACAAAGTACTGCTCTAGTAAGTGTGTTAGAATGGCTAGTAAACTTTATTTCCCTACAAAAGTAGAGAGAATGCTGTAATAAACCCCCATGTACTTATCACCCAATTTAGAAAAATTGAACTCTTAT